AACAAGCTAGCATTTGGCGCTCATCCGGTGGCTGGGGGGGACCTGCATAGGATTATTCTTTCTTATTATGATCAAAAACGCAGAATTTTAAGTTTTGTATTCTTTTGCTACAAGGCAGGTGTCAGGCTATCTATATAGGAAAAGTTATTTTTATGAAACCAAAACTCCAAAGAGGACCTTTTGTAAAAATACAAATGGAATAGTCATTTTAGGGAAGGAATCATTGTAAACAATAAGAGGAGGAAAAGATACTCTATCATGTCTGATTCCAGTGAAGGGTCTTCATATTTTTAGGATACAAACTTAGTAGTCACAGTGACAGGTGGCAATTCCAGTTGAATATTCATTCACCTAAGAAATACCTGTCTCTACACTCAGATGGATCCTAGGTCTGCAGCGTTACTAAAATGAACTAAACATACGGAAAATTAAGGTAGAGGTAAAAGGTTGGAGTCTTAATTCTGGAAGGTGAATTTCTAAAAACCAAATTTAGTGGTATGAGCAAAGATCCAAAGCAAGTCCCAACTGAATAAAATGAAATGCATTAAATATAAATGGATATATCATCATTTTGATCTAAACCACAGGGAAATGTTAGAAAGTTAAAGCTTGCAGAGTATAATCAGATAGCAGGCCCTTTAAAAAGGAAGAGCGATTTAAAATAGGAGGAGCTTAAAAGCAGGCACGCGATGCCTGGACACCTGCCCTAATTGTCTTTATGGGGCAGTCAAGAAGACAAATGTTTAAAAATTTAAAGGGCAGATATAGTACTTCTGTTCTTGTTTTCCATTTTATAGCATTATTTTTATTTATATACTTGATGATCTCAGGTTCTCTTCAGTGTGTGCCAAAGACATGCCTTCTTGCCCATTTCTTAGATATTCTAGAACAAATTCTTGCTGGTGGAGTTTCTGCCATTTATCATGGAGAACTATAAACACACAAGTATCAATAAATAGAAATTTTCGACCCCAAAGGACACAGTTGAGAGATGCCACGGATACATTATTGAAAGCTCTCAGATGCAACTGTGCATTTCAAATGGCCCACATTAGTTTTCTGATAAACATGGCATTGTGACTTTGGATTTCTTGTTATTAAAAATTGTCTTGTTTAGTTAGGTTTGCCTTCTCTTTTCAACCCATAAATGGTGATGGCCTTCTTTGTTACCACAAAGAGCTTCTCTGGCCTCTTCGGAGAACCACATCTGAGAGAAGTGTGGGAGCATAGATAAGGAAGTGTGAGGGTGTGGGAGCACAGATAAGGAAGTGTGAGGGTCTGGGATGTGCGGGCCCCTAGGGGTGGGGGGTGGGTGCAGGGAATGCAGTGGCCCTGGAGGGGGCATTGCTGCAGCGGGCAAGTGGGCCCTCTCCAGAAAATTGCTTTTAGAGAACAAAGAGGCTATTCTTTGGGAAGAGCAGCTCCATCTTCTCTCTCTCTTTTTCATGGTGGCTGGCAGCTCTTCTCCCCATTTCTATCCCATTTTTCCTATAATGCTCCCTCCTTTCCTTCACTTAAGTAATCTGTGACTATAGTTCAGTGAGATATAGTTCAGTGCAAACTGTGGAAAGTGCTTGTATTTATTTTGTTAAGCGTTTATTTTTAAGTAATCTTTGCACCCAACATGGGGCTCGAACTCAGGACCCCGAGATCAAGAGTCACATGCTCTTCCAACTGAGCCAGCCAGGCGCCCCAGAAATTGCTGGTATTTACTTAAAGCTTCAAAACCCAGGTCCACAGAAAACAACTAATCCAATCAAGAAATGGGCAGAACACATGAACAGACATTTCTGCAAAGAAGACATCCAAATGGCCAACAGACACATGAAAAAGTGCTCGACATCACTCGGCATCAGGGAAATCCAAATCAAAACCACAATGAGATACCACCTCACACCAGTCAGAATGGCTAAAATTAACAAGTCAGGAAACGACAGATGTTGGCGAGGATGCAGAGAAAGGGGAACCCTCCTACACTGTTGGTGGGAATGCAAACTGGTGCAGTCACTCTGGAAAACAGTATGGAGGTTCCTCAAAAAGTTGAAAATAGAGCTACTGTACGACCCTCCAATTGCCCTACTGGGTATTTACCCCAAAGATATAAATGTAGTGATCCGAAGGGGCACCTGCACCCCAATGTTTATAGCAGTAATGTCTACAATAGCCAAACTAGGGAAAGAGCCTAGATGTCCATCAACAGATGAATGGATAATGAAGATGTGGTGTGTGTGTGTGTGTGTAATGGAATATTATGCAGCCATCAAGAAACCCAAAATCTTGCCGTTTGCAATGACGTGGATGGAACTAGAGGGTATTGTGCTGAGCGAAATAAGTCAATCAGAGAAAGACAATTATCATATGATCTCACTGATATGAGGAATTTGAGAAACAAGACAGAGGATCATAGGGGAAGGGAGGGAAAAATGAAACAAGACGAAACCAGAGAGGGAGACAAACAGTAAGAGACTCTTAATCTCAGGAAACAAACTGAGGACTGAGGGTTGCTGGAGTGGAGGGGGGTGGGAGGGATAGGGTGGCTGGGTGATGGACATTGGGGAGGGAATGTGCTATGGTGAGTGCTGTGAATTGTGTAAGACTGATGAATCACAAACTTGTACCTCTGAAACAAATAATACATTATAAGTTAATAAAATAATAATTAAAAAAAGAAAAACCCAAAACCCAGGTCCAAGATCTCCTGCCATTTGTTAGAGCGTGACCTTGAGCATATCACTTAACCACTCTGAACCGTGCTTTTCTCGTCCATAAACTGAATATTTATATTTCGTGCATTGTCTGCCTCATGGGATTAGTGGAGATTAAATGAGAAAATGTATATGAAAGCATATCCTAGGGCTCTGATGATGATTTGATTATTATTATTTGAAAGCTCTATAGGTGGGCTGGTTCTTTCCACCTAGAAAAATAGAAGATTCTTATTCAAAGTCTTACTGAACAGAAATCAGCACCAACTTGCTTATTTGAATTTTTATAATGAAGTACAAATGCAAGATAGATGGAATTTCTGAACAAGCTCCTGGCTGTTGAATAAATTTTTTATATCTTAAAAACTGTAACAATATAAGTATTTTTAAAGAGATATATAATGGTTTCTGAAAATACCTGAAATGCCCATGCTTTTATAGATGTTTAACTATGCAATTTGTTCTAAATGTCTAATCTTGAATGATTAAATAATTTGCATACTGTTTTCAGTGGCATGAATTAAAGGCTAATTGAAGTATAATTTTTTGCAGTAAAACTATATCATCTTTTATGTAGTACATTTAAAAATATTCTAGGCCAGTTCTAATTTTATAGTTTTATTATTTTAATTTAATGTACCAAGTAATTAAAAATTGCTACAGAGAAAAGATGAAAATGATTTTAGTTCACGTCCCCTGAACAGAGTGAAAAGATGACGAGGAGAAAAATGGAACAGAGCTCAACACAGTTCCTGGCACATAAAGATATTCGTTAAATGTTCCTTAATGAATAGGAATGAATAATTTCGAAGTATTTCTAGACTTCAGGAAAAGGTGCCATTTTTGGTGCTATATAAAATAGGAGCAAGATTGCTTGACATCTTTATACTAAAATGCTTCCCTACAGAGGTCCCCTAAGCCACTTTGACTTGAACCACTAGACCCTCAGTTTGCTCTGCTCACCTTTTCTCTTTCTCCCTTTACTCTTGGAGTAGATTCTTAGGCCAAAGTCAGTCACAGATGTTGAGAGGCCATTCTCGGTGGGTATCTTGCAAGCAGAGGCACTGCCTACTCTGTTCTGGACTGTCTCTTCAAGGATGTTTATATAGCAAACGGCTTTTGAAGACAAAGTGCAGGTTTGCTCATAGCCTTGGAAGATAGAGGTGGTGTCTCCTTCCAGAACAAAGGGAGGACAGGACATGCTTACTGTAGTCTAATAAAGGCAATGTCTCCCTGTGAGACAGAAAGCAGGAATGCTTATTGTCCATTTTAAGGTTTGGGTCCCTAAGCTCTCCTGTAACGTAACCCACCACGTGGGCAGGAGTTACGTGGACCTTGCTCTGTCATCCCGTGGAGCTTGAGGCTCAGGAAACTGGTGTAAAACATGCTGATGTTCTGGCTGCTATTATTGCTGTGAGTTTATCTCTAACCAAGGCAACTTGTGTCTTCTACTAACATCCATGAAACTGTGGCAGGCTACCTTGTTAGTTCGCACGTAGGATAAAAGCTCAGACCCTAAACAATTCCTGACAATAGGTTTCAGCACTGTTTGGGTAAGTTGGCCGGTATGGGTAACCACCGTGGTGGGTATACTTGGGGACCCTGGGTCCATATTCTCAAGAGGAGAAGTGAAGGGGCATCATAGGGTTAGCAGTAAAAGATGGACAAAGATCCAGAAACTTTGGCCCAGAATACTGTCTAGAACGATGAAGCCTCTAATAACTCACTTTGTAGGGGTGGTTGGGTGGTGGGCGAAGAGGTTAGAGCAAAGAAGATGCCATGAAGCTTCAGAGCAGCATGAAGTCCTTCATGTTCATAGAAGCTGTAAGTCATAGTGTTGGCACCTACCATATTGAAGCTTATTAGCTAATTTTTTTTTTGAGCCAAGAGGATGCATTTTTGTGAGCACTTTGCTTTGAGGTCATAGTGCTTTGTTTAGTGTGCTCACACTGAGTGCTTGTTCTGGAAAAAGATATAGTGGCAGTGTCTGGCCCATTAGGTCACTCTGTTTGTGCCCCTCTTCCTTCCCTAGTCTTTATGGTTTATTAAAGTACTTCCCTAGTACCACTTAGGCAACTTTAATAACATGCAAGGATGGTCAATACCACGGACCTCAGAAGTCTCAGCTCCCTCAGGTACCCTCAGAGTTTGAACATAGTAATGCTGCCTCCAAGAACCAGCCCTTTGCCTACTTCCCTATTGTGGGATGGCATTCAGGGTTGTTACGGAGATGTGCTGTGACCTCTTCCTTGTTAGTCACCCGATGAAACAGTTGTGTTTGGTTCCACACCATAGGAACTTTTATCCGGCGTCATCGGATTTCGCTCCCACCTCCTGATGAAGATCAGTTTTATACTGTGCATCATTTCAATATCAATATAGACATCATCTTTTATGGCTGGACATTCAAGATTTATGACTGTGATACGTTCACAAAAAACTTTCTGAAGAAACTAGGAGTCAAATTAAACCCCCCGGGACAGTGTCCAGAAGATCCTTACATGAAGATGCGGAGAGAGGTAAGGAGTTGATACGTCCATGAGTTCGTGCCTTCCGAATGAGAATCCAGAAAGGAGAGTCAGTAAAGGGTATCTGCACTCCTGATGCAGACGTGAAAGAACTTTTGGGGTCATAGTCACTGGAGTGGTCCTGTTCTCCTCTAGGCTGGAGGGAACTCTGGGTGTTGACCTCAGGGCAGGAAAGCCTCACTCACTGCCCCCGACCCCACTCCTATCCATGGAGAGTCTCCCTTCCAGACAGTAGGAGTCTTCAGTGAGCCGCCCACATGGGACAAGTTCTAAGAGCCTGCAGTTGGCTTTGTGGTCACCGACAGTATAAGAGTTAGGTCCACAATTACCTGGCCTGTTTTTCCCCATTTTGGTTGCCTAACTCTGGGGAAAAATGTTTGCTTCTGCACTACTGATTTATTGCACCACACCTTGGGTATACCTTTTTCTTCCTTCCCCAGGACTCCCAGCTCTAGCGATGGTGGCATCCGACGTAGAGATGTTCTAGAGGAGTGGGGAGAGCCATGATTCTGGTGTACCCTGTTGTAAAAAGATGTTTGTCTTCCAAGTCCGACCCCAGTTAGTATAGGGAGGCAGGAACCAGTGTTAGTAGTAGTATTGTTGTCTTTCTATAGTTGTCTTTTTTTTTTAATGATCCTTTGGCCCAAATTTTGTGTTTTTTACGAAAGAATCTGAATACGCAGAAGAGCAAGTGTCAGGTGGAAGGTCACATACCTAGCCAATCTTCTCACTGGGACTTCACCTCAAATCTTTTGCTGCCTACCCAGAATTTGATTATTGTCATTTTCTTTTTCACTGAAGTATGATTAGACAGAGTAAAATAGATTTTTTTTTATTTATTCATGAGAGACAGAGAGAGAGAGAGAGAGAGAGAGAGAGAAGCAGGCTCCCCGCAGAGCAGGGAGCCCGATGTGGGACTCGATCTCAGGACCCTGGGATCATGACCTGAGCCGAAGGCAGACGCTTAACCATCTGAGCCACCCAGGCGCCCTAGACAGAGTAAAATGCACAGAAATGAAGTGTACAGTTGGATGAGTCTTAACAAATGCATACATCCATGTCATCCACACCCAAATCAAGATACAGAACGTGTCCATCCCCCCGGAAACTTCCCTCTTGGCTTTTTCCAATCATTCACTCTTCCCACTCAGGGATAGGTAACCACTGTTCTCATTTCTATCCCTATAGATCAGTTTAGTTTCATTCCTATTGTTTCTAAAACTTGTAATTAATTTCCTTGCAGAAAGATAACATGAAATTTAGAATAAAATCCTCCTTTGATTCTGCTTTGATCTCTTGTTCAAAGCTGCGTGTAGGGTCATTCATCTGTTCCCACCTCCTGGCCCCAGCAGAGTTATCCTTTAATATTGTAGGCATTTAATATTGTAGGCATGCAGCCTTCCTGAGAAATATGTGTTGTTGATCCTGGCATATTTAAGGTGAAGTTCCTATGGAATTATACCTGTGTATATTGGCATATAAGCAGATTTATAGTTTGGGTTTATTTTTATTTTTTCAAAATGCCCTAGATGACAGAGCCTAGATAAACATAAAGTCTATGCAACGAGAAGAGAGAACCTAAAAGAAGAGTCTGCTTAAGATTCTCTCTCCCTCGGGGCACCTGGGATGGCTGCACTCATTTGCTAACAGTTGGTATTATACGATAGTGATTATGGATGATGATGCATTATATTAAGTACAGAGAACATTGTGCCATTTCATAGGTTTATGATGAAAGAAATCTTTTGTGCCAGGAATCGAGAATAAATACCACGAACAGCCAAGAAATGTTTTAACTAATTTCCTTTCCGGTTGGGAAAATCATTTTTGCATTTATTCCCTCAGGGAGAAAGCTCTTCAATAAATATAGCAATCTGTGGAAAATTAGGAGTTTAATGAGAGGCTCTTATATTGACTTTAATGCATTTACTTCTCCAATGTTTGCTGCCTTCAAATATAAAGTTAAAATTAAACAATTTAACTTAAACTGAAAAGAGCCCCAATGGTGTATAATCAATAATGCATTTCTTAAAGGCCTTATAATGCAAAGAAACATTTTTCAGTTAGTGAAAGCAGAGGTCGCATCATTTCATTTAAATATCCAGGATAAAGAAGAAGGATAAGAGCCTCTGGAAGGCCATGATGTCTCTCCCAGTCTTGGAGTAGGTCTGCCACTAGACTGCCCCAGACAGATAAAAAATTCTGAGAACTGACAAATACGATCACATAACCCGATATGAGACTACTTCTCCCTTGCCAGTGAGCACTTCCTTATATAACGATCCTATTTGGCTACATCAGATAGAATGGGGGCAGTTATGCTCCAAGACAGGGCTGAGAACATGCAAATAGAGCCCCATCAGGAAGCCCACAAAAGTAGGGGTACCTGGGCTGGGGGACAGAACCCATGCAACAGTTCTGTGCGGCTTTGGAAGTTCTCCATTTGCTCTGCTCCTGTTTCCACACCCTTCCAGATCCTTGATAGGTAAAGCTTTGGAGCAAAATAAAACTGTGACTGTGTTTCTTCCCTTTTACTTTTACAAAAATCTTTGGATGAATAAGAAGGATATACAGATATGAATTCTCAGTGAAGAGACAAACAGATTTTTGGGGGGGTTGAGATATAATTAACGTAGGCTCAGACATACAAATTTTAAGCGTACAGATCAACAAGTTTTGGAAAATGTATGCGGTTTAATAAGTGACACAAAAATCAAGATGTGGAATATTTTCGTCACCCAAGAAAGTTCCCTTCTCCCCCCCTTCAGGTCAGTCCCCTACCCAGAGAGGCAACTACCGTTCCAATTTCTGTCACCACACATTAGTTTTGTGTGTTCTTATGCATTTTAAGTCTTGGAGCAAAGCCAGTTTTCAAAGACATCATCGAAGTGTATTTTAGGGTATCAAAATACTGTTTAATCCCAAATGCTTCCTACTAGTGGATTGTCTGTATTTTTAAGGTGAAAACTGGCTGCAGGTGTATATACATGTATGTCATTAATGCATTGACATTTAAAAAAAATATCACGGCATAGTCAAGGGGCAAGATCTCTTTATGTTCTCTGATTGCTTGCATCCCAGAAGTGACGGTGCACCACTGCTGATCTTGACTTCTTTTTCTGTTTTCAGACACTAGACTGCATGGAGCCCTTACGTCCCTATGAGTCCTTTGACACCCTGAAACAGTTCCTTGAGTACGATAGGAAGGTGTTACGTTTTTTCTGCCTGTGGGACGACTCAGCCTCGGTGTTTGGGGACTGTAGGGAACTCATTCTGCATTACTTCCTGTCTGATGATACCATTGAAGTCAAAGAAGTGATGCCACACAACTCAGGCCGGGATGCTATGTCATTGTTCCTCCAGAGGAGAAAGCTCCCCAAGGTGAGCAGCAGACACAGAACCCCTTTCCGCGTTTGCCTGTGGGCTCAGAAACTCTCATCACTCACTGTCTGGCATGTCGGGACCATGGACCATGTATCAGTTACCATGGATTAGTACAGGTGTTTAGAAAAGCTTCATTTTGTGCTAGTAAGATACCTCTGTGAAAGTACCATAAAAGATACGACAAATGGAGGTAGGACTATTCTGGGTTTCATTAAGGCAAGTAAAGGAAGAAAGTCAAATGCAAGAGAAAGTGCATATTCATCATGGAGTTCATAATCCGTCTTCTGAACGTAGAAGACTCTCTAGTTAGAACTGCTTGCGGGGCGCCTGGGTGGCCCAGTCGGTTGAGCATCCGACTCTTGGTTTTGGCTCAGGTCGTGATCTTGAGGTTTTCTGCTCAGCGTGGAGTCTGCTTAAGATTCTCTCTCCCTCGGGGCACCTGGGTGGCTCAGTCGTTAAGCGTCTGCCTTCAGCTCAGGTCATGATCCCAGGGTCCTGGGATCGAGCCCCACATCAGGCTCCCTGCTCTG